GGGGGGGGGGGGATGCAAAGGGCGGCTAAAAGAAGTTTTGGAATAAGTGTCGAACCTTGTTTTTCATCGCCGCTATTGTGAATGATGGTTGGTTTCTGTTGGAGTTTATATCCTAAAACAAGATAAAATTGAACAATATTATTACTAGGTATCATTGTCAGTGCTAAATTCTATCATCGTCACTACCACCGACAATCAACAAAGCCCACACCACAACCTCCACCTTCGACACTAGAGAAAAACGTTTGCGCATGCGTGCACTTCAGAACGTTTTCTAATACTTTTGAAAGAAAATAAATGTTTGTTGTTCTCCAAGTATACAAAAATGTTCGCGAGTATACTTTTGTCAGACTAAGATACTGTATTAACAAACACACTATGAAAGAATTAGTCTTAAATTTCAAGCATGGACACCAAGTTTTGGCATTTTGTGAAGTCCAATTTATAAGGCATGTTTGAAAATCAAATTCACATATGTTTTGACTAATTTGCATACGGATTCTGAGCATGCGCAGACGTTTTTCACTCGTGTCACCACCATCATTATTACAGAGATACCAAGTATGAAGTCACTCGCTACGAAAAACGACTCCCGGGTCCAAATTAAGCATGACGTCACTCGCTACGAAAAACGACTTCCGGGTCCAAATTAAGCATGACGTCACTCGCTACGAAAAACGACTTCCGGGTCCAAATTAAACATGACGTCACTCGCTACGAAAAACGACTTTCGGGTCCAAATTAAAACGCAGGTCTGAACAGATTTTTCTTACTTTTTCTTCGTGACAGAATTTTTTGTCCAAAGTTCTATATAATTGTTTCAGGTAGTTCAGGAAGTTGAATTATTGAGAATAATTTTCTATCTATTTTAGCTATCGTCATCACCGTCACCATCATCATTATTGCTGCAGCTCTTTCCGTCTTTTCTTCAGTGATCAAAAATTAATTAATTAAGACCGTCGTGAATTTGAATTACGGAAGCCGCGCGGGGCTGTCTTASACTCCGGGTGAGAAAGATCAAAGGCCTGTCCGCAATTGTTGAAAATAAATTTTCCCAATGGACCAAATCCACTTGGGCGTAATGATTACCCGTTACAGACCACGTGTCATTCCCTAGAGCATCAATTCTTTGTTCAACGTTTGCATATGAGAAGACATATGAACATGGATACAACTAAGAGAATATTCTCTTGATACAACTCAAACAAAGAATCTTATTCTCGAGAGAATGACACGTGGTCTGAAACATTACGCCCGAGGTAAAGAGGTCTTTTCGATTACAGGTATATTAGTTAAAGGGAYGTAACTGGCATTGAAGGTACCTCTTGGAATATGCGGATACAGTCATCCCCCGCAGCAGAAGCAATCAGCCCATTTACCTTAGACCTAAGAAGAGGTAAACATGAAAATTAATGAAAGAAATTACATTTAGCATACATCACTTCTACAACTTTGGGACTGTTCATTATTTATGCCATTGGAAGGGGGGGGG